CTTGAAATCAGCCATTATAATTTGAAAAAGATTTTCTTATGGTCAGAACAATATATTTACGAAGAATGATGATATGTAAATTACCAGTTATTATTCCAGATAATAGAACAATTAGCTTCATACTTTTTCTTAAAAAGTAGCCTCAGTATATTCGACTAGGGCTATGTTTTATTGTAGCTGTAACATAGGATAAAGTTTATTTATCTTTCAGTTTACACTAAATCTTACTAGAGCGGCTTTGTTGAAATTGAGAGAATGTGAATTTATTACTTCACAAAACTTTTGACCAATCCGCTTTAGTTCAGCTTTGATATTCTAAACACTATTCAAGACATGTCTTAATATTTGCTGGTGAAATTAATAGTTTTTTTCTTATAACACAATTTTTAATCTAGCTGAATAGAGAATTTGTTTAATCATCTTAGTCAAAATATCTTATTCAGTCTTCTTCTTTCAAAACTGTTGTATTCCAGCTGCACATAGATAACAATTTTTAGTTTTATCATTTGTTACGATTTGTTTAAGGTGATTTTATTGTAAGATTAAAATTAAAAGCGAATGTCTAGAATGATGCATCGAGTTAGTTGATCCAGTATTATGATATCAAATAATAATATCACAAATAGTTAATACTTTACAGTCAATGGTATTAGCAATAGTCTAATAATTATCATCACATTAATAGTAATAAATTATGGTTCTGCGTTATTCTGCAGTTAATTTTTTAGTTTTAACATTTTTTTTTATTTAGAATTTCGGAGAAGAAAATTTATTAAAAAAAATTAAATTGTTATTTTTATATTTATAATATAAATAAACACTAATATATTATATGATTACAATTTGTTATTGCGGTCATATGACTTTTCTAGTATTAATTCGTATTTATAAAGGGTGTGCAGCAGTGTGTAAAATTTATGTGCACAATGTACACATTAAATTTTTGTGTGCACATATTACACAGCATAAAATATGCACAAATAATTACTAAAATAGATAAATTATATATAAAAATGGATAAATTATTTATAAAAATGGAAATACTATGTAATACATGCATTAATTTTCTATTTTTAGTACAACTTGTGTATATGTCTTTTGGTCTAAATTTTATACACTGGTGTGCAGATATTTTTATTCACCTTCTGTATATTTATACATTATACAAAAAATTAGAATTCTATAAAAATCCAAAAAATACCTTATTATTATTATATATAATGATTTATTTATTAGTATATTATACTCTTTATTCAAAAGTATTAAATTACATAAAAATTTTATAAAAAATCAATTTTTTTTTTATTCTACAGTTTTTATTAAACTTAAATAAATAAATATAATATTTTTACTTGATAATGAATAGTTTTTAATATTTTATGTATATATTTTAATTAAAAATGATTTAGTTTAATATATTATATATTTTAAATATTATTTAGTATTAAATTTAACCAAATTTAAAATTATTTTTTAAAAAAAAATTATATATAAATAAAATTTAATTTATACGTATTTTAAAAAAAATATTTTCAAAATATAATCTAATTCATAAACTAGAAAATTTTTATTAAAAACTTAAAAAATCAATTAAAAATCAATTTTTTTTATATTTTTTTTAAATTTTACCAGTATAAAATTTGTTTAAACTATTTATTAATATCTAATTAAAAAATCACAACTTAAGAACTGTTTTTATCTGATCTTTTATATTATCAACTAGCTTTTAAAAAATATTATTATAAATTTATGTTATAATTTCTGTAAAAATGCTTTTAATTTAACTATATTTTTAGGATTTTCTTTTTTTGATCAGATATTATATTCAAGTTTATCTTAAATATACTCAATGGGATTGAGATTAGAACTTTGTACTAGTCATAATAAAAAAATTATCTCATTATCTTTAATGAATATTCATATTTTCCTGCTTATATGAATACTTATATTATCTTATTGAAAGAAATATTCTCATATTCTTTTTCAAATTTTTCTAAAAATAGTATTTAAAATTTCTTCTATATATTTTTCACTATTAATTTATCTATCAATTTTTATTAAAAGATCTATTTTATATTATGAAAAATATTTCTATATTATTATACTATCTTCATCATATTTTATTATAAGAACTAGACAATTAATATTATATTTCTTTTTTGACAGATGCTAAACATAAATTTTTTCATCATTTTGAAATAGTGTGAACTTAGATTTATCATTCTAAATAACTTTTTCAGTCATTAATTCTACTTTAATTAGAAATGTATATTTAACTTATTAATATATAAGATTTTTAAAAAGCAATTTAACTATAATATCCTATTTTATAAAGTACATATTATATGATATTTTTACTTATTTTATTTTCAGTTAAATTTATAAAGTTTCTTATATTTTTATGCTGGTTCTTATCTTTCTTTATTAATAATAAGTTTTAAATGCTATTTATCACATTCTAACAGTTTTTTTAGATTATTTATTTTTATAAATATTGATAGAAGAACTGTTTTATTGAATTTTATAATTATATAATGGATAGCTATTTTTAAGTAATCCATTTTTTAAGATATAGCTCTTTTAGATTTATCTGTTTTATGTAAATTGATAATTATTCTATGTTCAATTATTGTAAGCTCTTTTTTTTAAGTACATTAAAGAATGTTTAAAAAAAAAAATTATGTGAAAAGAAAAAAAAAAAAGATAGTGATAATTCTTTTTATAATTGAATTTTAATAAATATTTTTTAGATTATATAAATCTTATGTAATTACTGCAGATTTGTAATTATAGAGATGGTTTAATACTTTTAAATAAGAAGTATAAAATATTATTGATAATATAGTTCACTTATAAAAAAATCATGATTTTAATATAGGATTCTAGCTAAAATTTTGTTAAGAAAAAGTTTATTATCTGATACATATCTACTACATAAAAAAAATATAAATAAATATATAAAAATAATAATTGATTACTAAAGTATTTTATTGATATAAAAAAATAAAATATAGATATAGTATATTATTATGTTTAAAAAATATTTTTAGAAATTTGCACTTTTTTTTATTTAATTTTTTAACTTTAAGTGAAGAAGAACTAATTATGTAACAAGTTACTAAACTTGAATTTACTTTTTTCTTAAAATACTTTCTTAAAAAATTAGTTAGATTTTAGTAGTTTTTTTTCTTTTTTTTATTTGTTATATTTAATTTTGTTATAGAGTTTTTAGAAGAATTAATATAGTTAATATTAATATTGTCAATATTATTATTAAAGTAATAGTCTTTAGGATAAAAGGCTTTTGCTCATTAAATATTCATGCTATTAGTTAAAGCATTAGTTTGACATATATTATATTTAGCTTTTTTATTTTATATACTTATAGTTAATATAAATAATACAATAATTTTTATATATAAAAATTTTATTTTATATTGATGATTAATAATCAATAGATCATTAATTATTTAATTTTAGATATTATTTGAATAATTTGAATAAATAATAATTTTAATATATTCATATATAATTCACAAATATTTGAATAGTGATAATACTTATTTGAATATTCAAATTATTCAAATAATTTTTTCATGATTTTAAATACTAAATTATATAGTATTATTAAATAAAATAATTTTTATAATTAATTATTATTATTAAAATTATATAGTTTTTAGATCAGTTTTTAGATTTAATTATATTATAAAATTTTATGTTTAACAATTAATTATAATTCAATTAATCAAAATTAATAATTAAATCTTTAATCAAATTTTGATCAATTCTCAAATCAATTTTAAATATCAAAATTGATGTTAATTCTTAATTTAGACAAGTAAGTTTTAAAAGTTTAAAAGTTTAAATATTTTAAGAATTTAAATAAGTTTATATTAAATAAATTAAAATAATAGTAAAATATAATTTTAAATTTAAATTTTTTAAATTTTAATAAAATTAAACTTTAAGTTTTTATTATATATTTTGACAATTTTTTTTTATAAGAAAAAAATAATAAAAAAAAAGTAATTAATTAAAATTAATATTATTTATTTTATTTTTTTAAAATATAAAAGAAAAAAAATGAGTTTTTTAATTTTATAATATAAATTTTTTATTTATTTATATTAAATTTATTTATATTTTATTTGATTAATTGTATATTTTAAAAATAAAAAAAATTAAATTATAATTTTTTTTATATATTTAAAAATACAAAATTTATAAATAATGTATGAAATAATAATTAATATATGTAATAAATATATAAATTATATATATATAAAAATTAATTTAAAAAATAAAAATGTATTATTATAAATTTATTAAAAACTATATTAAAAAAAAAAATAACAAATTAATAAATTAATAAAGCATAAAATATATTAATTATATTATAATAATTTAAAATTTAAATTATAAAATATTATATTTAAATTTAAAAAAAAATAAATATAAATTTAATTCAAAATACTTTTTCTTATCAATTTATTTTTTTTTTTTTTAATAAAAAATCTAAATTTTCTTGATCAAAAAATAAAATTTAATCCATTATTTTAAAAACTATTATAAAAATAGTTTTTTTTTTTTTAATATATATATATTTTGAGTATATAAAATAAATATTAAAAATCAAAATAAATATTAATGATTCTAATAATTTACAAATTAAACCATATTATAAAAAGGTGTGATTTTATTGAAAGTTTTTTTTTTTTATACAGATTTTATATGAATTGACTTTGAAAAAATATACAATATATGATTATATAGAGAAATTTATATAAAGTATGAATCGATTATACTTAAATATAATTTGAAAGTTGAAATTCTGAAGAAATAAATAAATAAAATCAATCAGGATTTACTTTCTGCATATAATGAAATTTAAATCGGAAATTACTTACTTTGTTTCTTTATTTAGAAAAAGTTCAAAGTACACAAACAAAAAAAAAAGAAGCTTTTGTTACAACAAAGAGAAAAAAGGAATGATGATATTAATTATTTTTCATTGGTGCAATTTCTGTTTTCAAAATTCGCTGGTGTTTTCTTTTAGGTATAGGAGCTAAAAATTTAAGAAATGATGATTAATTTAATGAAGAAATCAAATGATAAATTTTAAAAAAGGTTTACCATTTTCATTTTCTCGAACATAAAATTTTCTTAATAATAAAATAGCTTCCTCTCTATAATACCCTCCTTCACATGTATACGCCGGATGTAATTTTAATTTTGGACTAAAAAGATCATAATTAAAATAAACACGTTGGAAGAAATTTTCTTAATGAGAGAACGTACTCTTGATGAATATCAAAAACAGATCCAGCTCCTCCAAATCTCTCGTTTGCACATCCATAAACAACACGTTTGATCCCTTGTAATATATATATATATGTTTATTTATTTAAATTACAATAAAATAAAAAATTAATTGTTAGACATAAAATATTTCGAAATTCATACCTAATTGCCTTAAAGCGTAGGTGCACATAACACAAGGTTCAACTGTAACATATAGCACACATCGTTTAAATACTTCACTTGTGTATTCACCGGAAGAAAGAATTAAATCTATTGCTTCAAATTCAGCATGTCTCGTTCCCTAATATAAAGAAAGGAAAGCACTGTTATTTCTTTTATTTATAGATATAAAAAAAATTTATAAGATAGAGTACATTGAGTGTCTCATTAGTTCTATTACGGCCGCTTCCGATTATTTTATCATCAAGTACAAATACACATCCAACAGGAACTTCATGATTATCATATGCTTCTTGTGCCTAAATTAATATAAATATTTGACATAACATAAATTAAATTAAATTAAATAAATAAACATTTTTGACATATAATTACAAGATTTAAAGCTTCTCGCATATATTTGTGATGGATTGTTTCCATATTGGATATATTTCATTCTTAGTCGCATTCACTGTTTAATATATCGAGCACAATATAACTATTTAAAATCACGTGTAAGATCAAAGTTACCCAATTGTTTGGGCTTTGAATTATTACTCACAAGATTCAGCCAATTTGTTAACATAATGTGTCACTGCACATCAATCAGATTAGATAAATGTCAAAAGTTTGTGCGAGAAAAGATAAGATGGGATCAATCGATAATCTTTTTTCCTATTGCATAAGAATCACCAATTTCAATTTCACGTGACAATGAACCAATTTATGAACTTTTTCACGCCATATTTTTCACAACAAAAATTCCTTCCGTAACTTTTAATTCTAAGATTTTGGGTTTTTTTTTGAATATATAATTTATATAAAGGAAACATTGCGATATATTTACTTGATTAAGCCCGCTCGTTATAGCAAAATGATAGGGTTTAAACCAAATTTAATCCGTAATAAAATAATATTTAAGTCCTCCTTAAGTTCATGTTGTTATAAACAATATCATGAATCTAGAAAAGTAATGGGGGTAAGTTCTTAAAAGACGCGGGTAGTTAAATATTATATCTCTATGTCATTACGACCTTATTTACTTATCATACCTCTATTATTTCTCCATTATTTGGCACCTAATAGAATTCTATAATGGAGCAGCAACAAAAGGTAGAACTTCCAATTTTCATGCGTAAAAAACATGAAAGGGTATGTAATTTTATGATGCAATTTTTTTTTTATAAATTTAATATAATCTTTATATTATTTTTCCCCCTTCATGTAGGACCTTATTATGGAGGTCTTGAGCACGGTTCCAAGCCAAAAAGAAGCTCAATCATATATCAAGCGATTCACAATACCCAATAAAAAACCACCCGCACCCACACCAACACCATCACCTATTCCTTTAGAAACAAAAAAGTCAATATCTGATGTTCCATCAACCGTTCCCGAATCTGATGTTCAAAAACATAACCCACAACTTTCTTTAACTTCGCAGAAAGCAGAATTTGTCGATTCTTTGTTTGCAACTAAACTAGAACATATCGCTCTAATTAAAATCCAGGGTCCTTTTACTTCTCTAGACCTTAAATCAATTGCCAAAACATTGGTTCATTTACAACAATTAGGATTAATGCCGATTGCTGTTTTGGATAATGACGAGTGGAAAGAGATGTTGAAGGAGGGACCTTCTCGATTCAGTGAATTAAGACAATGGATGATGGAGGACTCTTCTAATATTTGTGAAGCATTAGAGGACGCAGGTGGAAGATCTACTCCCATACATAATGGCGTTTTCACGCTCACACACGACGAGTCTGAGGAAAGCGATAAAAAAGTACATCGTCCAAGACTCAAACTACGTACTTTATCAACAGATGTGGATGCGAAGATCAATGTCTCATTGTCGTGGTTAAAAACATCCTTAAAATTAGGCCATATTCCTCTTATCCTTCCCATAGCACTAGATGGATTGTCTATACAAAGAACCATTTCTCCGAATGCTGGGATGATAGCACTTTCAAGTTCTTTATCTGATCTTTCAAATGCAACTTGTTTGAATTTGAAAACCCCACACCTTGAACCCATGAAAATCATTGTCATCAATTCGGAAGGTGGTATTCCTTCCGAGGAAAGGAAGGGATCTCATGTTTTTATAAACATTCAACAAGAATATGAAGATATTAAGAATAGTTATAAGAGTAATCCACAATGGAATTTCACGCATCCGACGGGTATTGAAAACTTGGAAATGATAAAAACTTGCTTGGAAAAATTACCCACTACCACATCAGCCATAATGGCTCCAGCATATTCTCCCACAGGACTCATCTCTAATTTAATCACTGACAAGCCATTATTTTCATCATCTTTGCCGCTTACAGCACCCACAACACCATCAACGACCACAACAGTGATACGACATGGTATGCCGGTTTTATATCATAATTCACTTTCCACTGTCAACATATCATCCTTACAATCTCTTATTGAGGCATCGTTCAAGAGAAAGTTGGATATTGATAATTATGTTGCTAGACTGGAGAAATGCTTGGAATTAGTAATAGTAACGGGTGATTATCAAGGAGCCGCAATAATAACCATGGAAGATGTAGAAGGGAACAAGAAAGGTAATATACCTTACCTAGATAAATTTGCTGTTACACCTAATAATCAAGGAGTTGGCATTGCGGATATTTTATGGAAACAATTACAAATAAGATATCCGAATTTGATGTGGAGATCACGTGAAAACAATGGTGTAAATAAATGGTTCGTGAAGTGATTATATTTTAAAATGTTGTATTGTATTTTCATTGAAATCATCTAAAAAAAATTTTTTTTTTATTCCAAAGGTATTTTGAAAGATCTAATGGCAATTATCGAGTTCCGGGAACTCACTGGACGATGTTTTGGTATGGCAACGACGGAATTAATGGGTTGAAGGCTTATACCGAAATTACTAAAAAGATACCAGCTTCATTTTACTGTAATTCAACATAAGATTATTAATGCATTACGTATTAATTATATACCATAGCCAAAACATACATTTTTGTCATAATGTAAATATTAATTTATTTTAAACCATTTCCTGTTTCAACATTGCAATTTTTTTTCACCGCTTTACATGTATACAAATTTTTTTTTGTAAATCTTATCTTTTAATAATTATTCTTGATAATAAAATAAAATGAAGACATTCACGAATTTTTAAAACTAATTTTACTAAATATTAAAAAAAAAAAGTGGAACTACCTCATTAATAAACTCTAACTAGTAATATCAAACGAGAAGGCCGAAATATTTGAGTTTATGAATTTAAGAATACTTATAAAAAAAAAAAAAAAAAATTAAAAAAAAATTATCGATAATCAGATGCTATCCATTGGTTGAATCAATGATATACTTATACTAGCTCCCTTAAAATAGACAAAATTAATCGACTGCAAAAAAGTCCTAACACGAGTTAATGATTTGTTAATTAAATTTATTCAGTTGACATTCCTCGACTTCGCGTTCCGCTTTTTATTTTTACTTTTTTTTCTTTCAAATGAATTAATTACTCATGATAATTTTATTATTAAAACATTTACCGCGCCGGAAAGATCATTATTAGTATTACCAATTTATTTTTGCATCGCAGTATTTTTTCTATCCCTTAAATGGTAACTGTCATTATTGGTCATCTCGGTTGCAATTTAAGAAACTTAATATTCAATATTCGGTAGTTACCGTAATACTTTTACATGAAATTGTTACTTCCACACCTCGTTTATACTTGTCCTTTTTAGTGATACACGATTAACGATCCTTTCATTTCTAATTTCAAATAATAAAACATCGGACATTAAAAAATTGCCCTTGTATGGAAGGTCTAGAATCAAGTTTGCGTCCACGCACGGTCAGAAGCCTTTTTATGCATAGAAGAGTTTTATATTGGGTGTTACAAAAAGCCGTTCGAATATATATATTTATATATATTTGTATTATTTACCATATATAAGTTTTAATGTTATATACGCGTTTACGTATATGGAAAGTCTTTATCTCTATGAAAATTGGTTTCTTTGTTAAAAGGTTTATTATCTAAATGTTTTAAATGTTAAATATCACTTGGAAGTCACACAAGTTTTATTTGTCCCAAGGGTCTAAAATGGAATCAAGTAGATAAAAGAAAAAAGGAGTTGACACACCCCCAAATCTTTTATCCCCTAATTCCTCGGGACGTGTGAAAAAAAAAGAGAGAGATTTGCGGTTATTAAAATAAATATGTTAAGCCGTCATTATATAATTATTTCATTTGAGCTAAATAAAAATATTTTTAAATCGAATTTCAATAAGCTTAAAAAAAAAAAAAAATAATTAAATAAAAAAAAAAATTTCGGAGTTGGGTGTGACTCAATTTCACATCATATAACGCGTCAAAAAAAATGGTCTTAATATCTATAAAATCAATAAATCTGAATTTAAATTTTGTATGACCTATGTTAAAAAAAATTTATTTTTAAAAATTTTTTTTTGGGGGTTTAAAATTAGTAATTGACTGTTTCTTTTTTTACCCGGATTTGGTTGGCTTGATTTAAAATTAGAAATTAAAAATGCTGAATAAAGATCTTATTCAATTTTAGCATGATCGATCTTTTATGGCATCAATTAAGTAAATTTTTTTTTTTTTTTGTATAAAAATTAATCAATTCTTTTTTGATAAGCTATTTGGCGCCAACTTTAATTGGAACAATTGATAAAACAAAAAAAAATTAATATATTAACTTTAGGAAATTAGATTATGCTTAAAATTTATTGATTTTTAAAGTTTTTTTTTTTATTACCATTAAAGGTCAGTTATAACCTTTTATGTCTAGGTTATTGTGGGCGATAGCCTGTAGTATTTACCTGTAGTATCTAAGAATCTAAAAATAAATCCTCCTAAAATTAGCACCTTGGTGATCAATTAATTATAGATCCAAAATTGCCGTAGTAAATCGTAATTGTGAGAGATATATATGCATGATATTTTTTTTTTAAAAAAAAAAAAAAGAATAAAATAGTAAACCCAACAAATAATCGTGTTACAACATATAATATAATCATTTGCATGATCTATTATTAGTTCTGTTGATAAATGTTCAATAAATGTGTGCGAATCAATCGTACTAGCAATAAAACCTGAGAAAAAAAAAATTGTAATAAAGAAAAAAGGTCAAAAGATGAAGTCCAACCATCGTACAAGTAATGACAAATTACGATAAGGGCAAACTTTGTTCGCGTTTCAGAACAGGAGACAAAAAAATTTCACATGTAATATATCAATACTCATTGTAAAACTTGTTACAGTAATATAAATTTCAGACTTGATCAACTTGATATGTGATATCTCCTTATTATTTATTATAATTCGTGTGTTCAAGTCACTAAATAGTGTTTGACCACAAAAAAAAATTTCTTTGTTTTTATTTGAAACATCAATAATGATTTTTTTTTTTCGGCCAAGGAGTTTTATCAACAATT